TACTGATCTTTTAATCCACATACAGCAGATATTTAGATATTAGGTTATAAACTCCTACCAGGAAATTCCATGTAACACTTCTTCTCACTGATACAAGGTCACAGTGATGCTTCCATTGGTGCAATGGCAGGGAAGGTGACATTTATAGATAAAGCATGGCCAGAACCGGGACCTTGTGGGCCAAACCCAGGTAGAGGTTGCTGCCTCTGCTACTAGACCACAGCTTGGCCTTCCTGTCTGAGCTATATTGGATTTGTTTCATTGCAGGCAGAGGGTGAGAGGATCTGTGAACCAAGGAAGTCTGGACTTCAAGACATGGGCCGATACCAAATACCCACCTGAGATCTTCAGCGCTGAGAGGAACATCTGTCACAAGAGGAAGTTTGCAGTCGAGACATCCTCCATGCCGGCATATACCAAGCACTGGGGTCCGGACCACACAGTCACAATGATCACCATATAGACCATTTGGTTATAGTCTGGTGCCCTGCAGGTTATGGTTTGGTGTTGGGAGAGGGTAGGAAAGGCAGAATTATGTGAGGTGAGTGGAACTGTATTTCTAACCATCAAAGAGAAAGAGAGTGTGTGTGTGTGTGTGTGTGTGTGTGTGTGTGTGTGTGTGTGTGTGTGTGTGTGTGTGTGTGTGTGTGTGTGAGCGGTGACAACTTTACAACACACACAGGGACCATGGGGAACAAAAGTAGCCCCCTCCAGAAGGAAGGACGGTGTCAGCACCAATTCAGAGATGATTTGAGGATCTACAGCCGAGTGATACACAAATAAGATGCATTTTTATAATTAGTTAAGGTACTTAAATGTATTTTTAATATTTAACTCCTGAATTTAGAGTCACTTTAAAGCCAAACTCTGGGCAGGAGGACAGTTTCAAATAAATAATTAGTAGGGGGGATTAGACAGTCCTTCACAGGTCCGATCATCCAGGCTGCCTCTGGTGTCCTCCAGACAATTTCTTCTCTCATTCAATTAGTAGAGTTCCCGCTGTATTTCTGGGCCCCTAGGAAGGCAGATGCTCTGCGTTTCATATACTTCAGTGCTGTGGTCACATCCTCTCTCTCTTAGCCAATCACAAAATGGAGACTGGGAGCCTTTGCTTTGTGATTGGTCTATGAGACCCTCCGCATATGCCTCCTTAGCAGCCTGGAAGTACAGCGGGAGCCGTACTAATCAGGTGAGAGAGGAAACTCTTTTTGAGGACACCAGAGGCAGTATATATATATATATATATATATATAATGTGACAATTTACACAGCACTTTACATCTAAGGTCCCTATCTTACATACTTACAGGGATCATTTAGACTAGAGCCAATTAACCTTCCAGCTTGTCTTTGGAGTGTGGGAGGAAACCCATGCAAGCACAGGGAGAACATACAAGCTCCTTGCAGATAGTGTCCTGACTGGGATTTGAACCCCCCGGTGCTGCAAGACAGAAGTGCTAACCACTACATCCCTGTGCTGCATATCTGAAACTGTCCTCCTGCCCGGAGTTTGGCTTTAATTCTTACATATCACAACGCACTGCACACCATTCCCATTACAATCACAAAGGACAGGGAGAGAATACAGAACGCAGGATTGTAGATTCTTTTTATATACATTTCAGCAGGGACACAGTGACACATGCAGGTCAGAGGATCAGCTACAAAAACGCATTGTTATACACAAGTTCCTATGTACAGGATCATTGGCAGTCACAGCATTGAAAAGAAACCCCTTTCCTGGAACGCAGCGCCCGTCATACAAACTATTCTGCCTGAGCGTAAAAGGTCAAAAACATTCAGCAATAAAAATCTAATAATAATTTGAGGATAATAATCTGTATTCAGTGTAAATTCAGGTCAAATAAACCATCAGCAATACTGCATCCACCCTACTAGGACCCTGTGTGTGTGTGTCAGATAAGGCATATAGAAGGTCTATAGACAGTGCAACGCCACCATACAATATATATATATGCAGCAATGTCTTCTGTATCATCACTTCACATCAAGTCTCCTCCATAAAGTGTCACAAGGAAAGTGCTGAAAGAAATGCAGTGACATGGACACAGAGGTGCAGTACATGGCAAGTCAATGTGCAATGTAAAGGATGACTGTAGAGGAACATTGCTTTATGTCTTTCCATGTATGTGATGGTTCCATATTGCCAATTGTTTACATCACTTCTTCCCTGTGCTGTATGTCAGCTGACATTTAAACTTAAAGGTTCATCTGCTTTGCCTTCCCTGGTTCCTCCCCCCCCCCCAATCAACATGACAATTACATTTTTAAATAAAACATTCCCACAGTCATTACATATCTTATTATAGACCCAGCGATATCATGACTGGGTCCCTGTGCAATGCAGGCAGATCATGGCTGGTGGGAGGGGCCTCAGCATTCCTCTCAAGAGTCCTCAGCCTTGATGCAAGCAGTGGGCCGGCTCTTGGGAGGAGTTATGCAAATGATGGGTGGGTGTCAGTCTGGAGGCGTGGGCATGCCTGGGCAGATGGTATTTGCATGCAGAAGACCGCCCTAGGTAACGCCCACTGAGCCTCCACAAATCAAAGAACTTAAGTTGTATAAATGAGGGGCGGCCCAGGGACAGTCAGGATGGAGAGGAAAGGGCTAGGTCGGGAGTTAGCAACTTGGCACTCCAGCTGTGCTCAATCTACAAATACTATCATGCCTTTGCCTCAGTAGGCCATGCCTGTGGCTGTCAGTCATCCAATGCCTCATGGGACTTGTAGTTCCACACAGCCGGAGTCACCCACCCCTGATCTAGATGATGCTTGGCATCCTCCAGCCAGAAAATAAGGAGGGCTCTATCCGACTTGCTGCAGACAGACTGATATACTTCAAATTCTTTACAATATTTCCTGGAGGAGTGTGGGGGTGGGAGGGGGGATCTGTCAGATCTCCTCTGGATATGGTAACAAGTAGAATAAAGTCTGAGCTCATAGTGATGTCCCGAGCCTGGCAGCCCATGCAGCTCCTTGGGGAAATAAATGGCCACACAGTGGGGTGTCATTAGTTTGGCCATGGTTAGTGGTATGTTCAACATCTGAACAATGTAGCATTATCATTGCTGGCTGGAAGCAATGCATGATGGGAAATGTAGTCTTAAGAAAGAGAGACTGCATCCTATTAAGCAGCAGGAAAGAGATGCAAAGCACGCTGGGAATCCAGGAAGTTGTTGGAAGTGACGGGCAGACGGAAGGCAGCGCTCACTACATAAAAGGGATTATTTCATGTAAGCTTTGATTGCATTATCAGAGACAACTCTACTATGTATTCCTATTACAATGCTGATGTCATAACCGGAGAGGAGATGCTGAGACATTAGAAGTCCTTTTAGCTGTGGGGGGAAGGGGAACGGTGGGGTGAATGACCCATAGGCGCCTTATATTTCCTATAGACTCCACTAGTAAGGTCTCAGTATACATTGTGGACATTCCATGGGGGAAGTATCACTCCGTACATCATTGGAAGGGACATGGCAGTTGAGTAGAACTGAGCATTCTGCTTGGGATCAATCCCTACTGCAGTCCTCAAATAATACTGGAAGCCAGTAAGTGGTCCAGCCAGCCAGGACCCAGAAATATCTGCTTTGGGTAGAGCTGAACTTTAATATATAAATCCCAGCCTGGGCATTGCTAATGTTATACAATCTATGAATCTTTGTTTATCAAACCGTAATATATGAACCAGATTCACTTGTGTACAAACAAGCCGACTCCACCATGCTCAGTTTTTTTAATTCATATTGATGATAGGTCCAATGCTTGGCATTGTTGGCCCAGGTGTCCTGTGCTCCTCAGCTCCATCTAGTGGCCATAATATGTATTTATTTCCTGTGCTCCTCAGCTCCATTTAGTGGCCATAATAAGTATTTATTTCCTATGCTCCTCACCTCCATCTAGTGGCCATAATAAGTATTTATTTCCTGTGCTCCTTGGCTCCATCTAGTGGCCATAATATGTATTTATTTCCTGTGCTCCTCAGCTCCATTTAGTGGCCATAATAGGTATTTATTTCCTCTGCTCCTCAGCTCCATCTGGTGGTCATATTGTGGTACTACGTTACATTTGACCTGATAAGGAAATATACTAAGAACATTCATTTTTGGCTCTGTTCCCACAGAAGGCACACAGGGTGAATGGATCCCCAGATCATTTATAAATAAACCCCTTAATGTCCTGAGCGTCAGGCAACTAGTGACAGGATAGTTAAAGCCCAACTTACCATTTATTGTTTCGGATATGTGGAAGGATTAAAAACTCATTCTGTTTTTTTACTGGTCCCCATGGGGACACTTTCCCCTCACTTCCTGTCCTGGTGATAGGAAATCTACATAAAAAGGAACACAGGCAGCATATAAAAATAAAAGGGAGCACGGCCTGGCTGCTGACTGGTTCTGAACCCCGTCCCTCCTGTTTCCGGTATCCGAGTCTGTGAATTCCCACCAGTGTCTAGCTACTCCCAGCATCATCTGAGACCACTGCGGCCTCGCCTATGCTCAATGGAGCATAATTGGGAGGAACCACAGCACAGAATCATGGGATGAGATGCTGCAGTCCCAAAACCTTGTAACAACCCTAATGAATCTGAGTTAATGCATTCTATATAAAATCACGATAAATATAAGCTGAGCGGACTTTAGCACAGCTGCAGTGTTTCTGTGCTCTCCATAAGCAAACATATCACCACTGCTAATAAGCAGGACAAAAAACTAAAGCAATTATTTGTTTTCCTGCAGTTTTTGCCCCACTGAGCTAAACGTGGCCGTGACTTGTGAAATGCTTGGCATTGCTCCTTCTTCTGCCACATAGCTTTATAGTAATGACAATGGAGGGGTCAAACCATCACAAAACCGTCCAATGAAAAGGGTGATAGTGGACCTGTCATGAGAGAAACGTGAGGGCTTACATTTCTGTCCTCTCCTTTTTAGTCAGTGACCGGGAACAAAGGCATTTCTCTCCGGACAGGTTTTATTTCAGATCTAAACTCCAGGAAGACATCTTTATTACATGTTATGCTTTCCTCAGGAAGGGTGTATAGGGCATAAAACAAGTATGTAAACCTGACCACCTATCAGCCCCCTGTAATTCCCTGCACAGCAGGACTCAACACCATGAACCAATAACCTTCTACTGACTTGCACGGAGCGATGACCTCATCACTGTGCTGCCAATCCTTCATTGTGCCATGAGCGGGCTCTGGTTGGCGGCCAGGCCGTATTGCTTAACTACAGTGGGGAAGAATGAGGCCGTACGGATCGTAAGACCGGCTGAACAGAAACGGCCGTATATCTGCAAGTAAGACCGCTCACATACAGTCATGGCCAAAAATATTGGCACCCCTGCATTTCTGTCAGATAGTGCACCACTTGGCGCAGACAATTGTTGCAATGACAAATGTTTCGTCATTCTCATGTTTATTTCTTATGTTTGTATTGGTGACACAAAAAAGTGGAGGGAAAAAAAAGCCAAACCTGACACATTGCACGCAAATCTCCAACAATGGACCGGACAAAATGATTGGCACCTTCTCCAAATTGCAAGAAATAAATAGAATTCCAAGTGTTTGTGGAAAAGCATGGACAGTCTCCAGGTTACAAGATCTGTATGTTCCTGTGTCCACTGTGCACAACATTGTCAGGAAGTTTACAGCCCATGGCACTGTAGCTCATCTCCCTGGACGTGGACGAAAGAGAACAATTGATCAAAGATTGCAATGAAGGATTGTTGGAATGGCGGATAAAGACCCTCCATCACCTTCCAGAAAAATCCAAGCTGACCTTCAGGCACAGGGTACAACTGTGTCAGCTCGCACTATACGTCGCCATCTGAATGAAAAGGGACGCTATGGTAGGAGACCCAGGAGGACCCCACTGCTGACACAGAAACATACAAAAGCCAGATTAGAGATTGCCAAAACTTACCTGAGGAAACCAAAATCCTTCAGGGAGAATGCGCTGTGGACAGACTTTTGGTGCAGCCCATCATTCTACTGTTTTCAGAAAAAGAAATGAAAAAAAAATCCAGTCCCTACAGTCACACATGGTGGAGGTGCACTGATGTTTTGGGGTTGCTTTGCTGCTTCAGGCACTGGATGTCTTGACTGTGGATGGCATTATGAAATCTGAAGACTACCACAGAATTCTGGGGTGCAATGTAAGGCGCAATGTAAGAAGGTTGGGTCTCCATCAGAGGTCATGGGTCTTACAGCAGGACAATGACACAAAGCACACGTCATAAAGCACCCAGAAATGGTTTCAGACAAAGCGCTGGATAATACTGGATTGGCCAGCAATGAGTCCAGATCTGAACCCCATAGAGCACCTGTGGAGAGATCTCAAAACAGCACATGGGAAAAGAAACCCTTCCAATCTGAGAGACTTGGAGCAGTTGGGGAAAGAAGAGTGCTCCAAAATCCCTGTAGAGAGGTGTAAGAAACTCATTGATGGTTACAGGAAGCAACTGATTTCAGTTATTGTTTCCAAGGGCTGGGCTACCAAACATTAACCGAGGGTGCCAATAATTTTGTCCAGTCCATTGTTGGAGATTTGCGTGCAATGTGTCAGGTTTGGCTTTTTTTTCCTCCACTTTTTTGTGTCATCAACACAAACAAAAGAAATAAACATGAAAATGGCGAAAACATTTGTAATTGCAACAATTTCCTGCGCGAAGTGGCGCATTATCTGACAGAAATGCCGGGGAGGGGGGTGCCAATATTTTTGGCCATGACTGTATATATATATATGTATAGACAGCCGTCTGCCTGGAGTTCAGCATGAGGAACGTCCTCCGGTTCTTCCCGGTTAAAGAATCTTTGACATAAATATAAAATCTTTGCATACCAGTGTGTGTTCCGTCAGATATAAATCTGTACATGGCTATAAATATATTCTTCTGTCCCCCGGTCTTCCTATAATATGAAATCGTATTGAATCCTCCTCATTATACATCTCACATTCAATGCCAGGTACAGTGTGTCAGCGAAGAGTTTATATGTTGTGTCTTTACACACGACGTTGCTCCTTCAATACAAAATCCTCAATGATATCCGGGTGCAGTCCATACATCTCCAAAAGGGAACCTTTAAGGCACGCTGCAACCAAACCTTCTGCAATCAATGATACAGCCTACCTTGCTGAGGGCGCGCTTATTCTCGCATTTCTCCCTGTGGAGCCGGCTGCCCCGTTTTATAAATCCCTACGATTGTATTTCCTGAACCAAAATACAGGCCTGGAGTTGCCAGGTTCAGAGCACCGCCCCTGGAATTCTTCAGGGAGGGTAACAGCGCAGCATAATGTGACAAAAGGCTGCAGTTCCGCTCGGTGCTGTGAAAACCCAGCTGAACCTATTGGCAGCATGTAATATAAAACCCAGTGTAAAGGTAGATTGAGTGGGCTTCTGACTTTAGCACAGCAGCAACGTTTCCTGGGGAGAATCTGTTTGCTCGTTGCTTGAAGATGCTAATTAAATGTTAGTCAAAGCCCTTAAAGGACATGGCACCTGGTGTGAAAGCTGAGCCACGTGTATGTTCACAGGTCCTAGTCAGAGGGCCGGGAAAGGTTTGGGTTCTTCTTCCTGGCACCAAAACGTTTCAAAGGGACCCGTAGGACTGCTGTGAGCACAAGCTGTGCAGTCCTGCAGGTGAAAGGCACTGGGGTCATGTAACTCGGGTTTGCATAGGCAAGTGGGCCAAGATATGAGACCATGGACAGTGAAAGTTGTGGACCGCTGTGGTCCTAGTGCACGTGATAGAACACAGCTGTAATGGTGAAGAGTTCTCATCCCTCAGAACAGCTGAAGGTCCAACCTCACACACACGTCCCCTGTTGGCACTTCATGGAGCAGTAAACGTTTAGTGGTCGGACCTTTACTCTCCTGTTCTGTCCGGATCTTCGCCACCGGGACTTCCGTACGGCCCAAAAAGTCTGCAGAGGAAGCAAAGGGAATTTTGTTTTTAAAAAAAGGACATGAAGCCGTCTCTTCATTCTTCCAGTTACCCGATACTGACTTCATCACTACTCCGCTCATGTCACTTCTGCCTGCAAGACTTCTCTCATGCTGCACCTATCCTCCGGTCTGCTCTCCCGCCACCTCACCTCCCGCTCCGCTCTCCCTCCGCCTCACCTCCAGCTCCGCCCACCCTCCGCCTATCCTCCCGCGCCGCTCTCCCTCCGCCTATCCTCCCGCGCCGCTCTCCCTCCGCCTATCCTCCCGCGCCGCTCTCCAGTGCTCTCCTTCCACCTATCCTCTTCTGTGCTCTCCTTCCACCTATCCTCCCACTCTGCTCTCCCTCTGCTCCCGCTGTGCTCTCCTTCCACCTATCCTCCCGCTGTGCTCTCCTATCCTCTGCTGTGCTCTCCTTCCGCCTATCCTCCCGCTCTGCTCTCCTTCCGCCTATCCTCTGCCGTCCTCTCCTTCCGCCTATCCTCCCGCTCTGCTCTCCTTCCACCTATCCTCCCGCTCTGCTCTCCTTCCACCTATCCTCTGCTGTGCTCTCCCTCCACCTATCCTCTGCTGTGCTCTCCCTCCACTTATCCTCTGCTGTGCTCTCCTTCCACCTATCCTCCCGCTCTGCTCTCCCTCCACCTATCCTCTGCTGTGCTCTCCCTCCGCCTATCCTCTGGCCTGATTTGACCTTCATATTTTTACATGCTTGCAATTTCATATTTATTTTTTACTGTAAAAATACATTTATAGATGAGCTACTAGAGAGAGACATCAGTCTGCTTCCTGCGTAAAGACTTTTAGGGTTTTTTCCCTTTATGTTCCCCTGGTGATCCTGCCAGTAACACCCTTCTCCTGTGCTAGGGTGACAGTGCTCCCCTACAGCAGCATAGGATGCTGGATTTTCACACTTATCCCCCCAGAAAGCAGCCGTGACTCATAAGCTGACAATTATGGTGCTGGACTGGTTTGCCCAGAAAACCCATTTGCATTCTGAAGACTTGGAAGATCTTAGTTGGCACAAAACCCTCCAATATGCTTCTGTATTTATTTCCCTATCCCAGACTAGAGCTGAAGGATGATTCAAGGGCTCTGCTCCTGCCTTGTTTTTAGCAGTGCGTGTGTTGCATGATTCATGTGTGGACGGGACCTGACATAGGGAATGACGTTCCACAAAACCTCCTGGTTCCGGTTCCAGTTCCAGAAGACCACCCTACAGAGACGGCGCCGGTAGCACAGAACACTCACCGTCGGGGGAGAACTGGTCTCGATCGAACACTGTGATGCACAGCACATCCTGGTACAGATCCTTCAGGAAGAATTGACAGTTAAAGTTCCACTTTGGGTTCAGGGTGTCAGTCATTGCGCGGCTGGTGTAGCTCTGGGATCCCATGCTGACCTCACAGTATGGATTACTCTTTCCTGCAAAACAAGGATGTTTTATTAAAAACAAATCTCCTGCGCTGCAACGCTCAGACTGGAGGAGGGAAGGTCACACTAGGAGCCAATCAGACTGACAGAGCTGAAGAGGTTCAAGGTTTTGCTGCTACTTCAATGACCAGTCAGCAGGCTGTGGGTGGGAAGGTGACACCACTGCATTCCTTACCTCTAAAGGAGAAAGCGGTGTCACCCTCCTGGCTGTGATGTCTGGCAGATTTGTATGAGTCACAAGACTGGCTGGATAGAATTACAAATCCTTTGGAAGATAAGACGGTTCATGTATCTGTATTTTAACTGTTGAGGTCTCCTATACATTTTGTCTGGGTTTGAGGACTGATTAGTGTCTACCCCTCTATGTTTTTCTGTGGGGATCTACAGAGTAAGAATGTCCTTCCTGTCTCTAATCTGATGTATTAAGATTGCAATCAAACTTACATACCAGACACCCTCGGCTGTTCGTAGTGGTTCAGGCTAAACACTTGAACTTAATAGCCAGACAGCTCTGGACACATACATGCCCGCACTGTTTGCCTGATGAAGCAACCACATGTGGTTTCCGTAGCGTTGCGTCTCATTGTGATACCATGTTTATCGTATGTCAGTAAAAAATGAATTGATAGGGTGGACCTCGCGTGTGCTGGCGGCCTGACTTAACATTTCATCAGCAGCAGGACACAATTCACACGGCTGGCACTCTATCACTCCCGGAGTAGTGCTGATGATTGGAGAAGTCAGATCCCTGGAGAGTCAGGTCGCTGTGCTCCATGTAAGAGAAGAGGTCTGACTCTCCTACGTGCTGCCAGCACAGGATATTTTAATACTTTCTGCAGTACTTCACTTTCAGCAGATTTATTACTGTATTTATAACCTGACTGCATTATAATAATAGCTCACAAGGGTCCGGTCGGGCTGTAAATATTGCTGCAGTAGAAAATCAGAACCCTTATTAAGCGCACATCTCTATTCTTGCCCATGCCAGCTAATAAGGACTGTGCTACTGTAGTAGATGTAATAGGCCTGGAGCTTTCCGATCCACAACAATAACCTGTCTGGCCTCTGCTAATCCATCTCTTATGCCAATCACTAGCCATTGTGGCCCAGAGGAGACACAGAGGGCTCTTACCATTTGGTTTGCAGGCCTTTAGCTCAGTTGCCTCAATGACTTGCACCATTAAACGTCCAATGCCGGAGGACTTCTGAGACCGCGCTAAATACAGGAAAAAGTAGATTCGTAACTGTGATGCTCCAATAATAAAACATCATATATAGCATCTGAAATGTGTATGTCTGCTGACCCATTTATCTTTCTTATATAATGACTAAGTCATATGACCCTACAGGGCCACTCTGTACTAGACATGTGCGATTCATTTAGCTCTGAATCAAAAGGGGTACAAATTTTCCGAAAATTCACACACACCCGAATCCCGATGTGTCCGAATCCGAATTTTCGTTTAGGAAATTTCGGATCCCGTCCGAATTTCGTTTAAAAATTAATTTGAAATCGGACATGTGACTTTTCGGTCCAATCATGTGTTTTAGAATAGAATACTAATTATATATACATAATACTAAAACTGATGCTCCAAGACCCGAATGGAGTCCCAATTTCCGAATAGCATTCAGGAGCTCCCGAATGTCATTCGGGTCTGGAAGCCTCAGCTTTATATTATGTATGTACTGTGTATCGCTCCCAGACCCGTATTACTTTCTGGAGCTACCGAATGTCATTCGGGTCTGGAAGCCTCAGCTTTAATATTATGTATGTATATGGCTCCCAGACCCATACTGCTTTCAGGAGCTACCGAATGGGTTTCGGAAATTCAGACTCCTGAATGCCATACAGGTCTGGGAGCCTCACCTTTAGTATTAATATCTGTAGATGGTTTTCTGTGGTAGTCATAACGAATATTTGTTTGTAAACTCATCCGAAACTAACGAAAATTTGGATTTCGCCCGGATCCGACACCCCGAACCGAACTGAATCCCGAAAGAACGAAAAAAAATCAAAACTGAATGTTTCTGCAGCTTCCATGTCTACCCTGTATGTTCTTATATGCAAAACCTCAATACAAACATGTGGAAGAAAACATTACCTATAAAACGTTTGGCTGAAAATCAAACATCAGATGAGTCTGACCTCTTAAAGGAGAAGTATGGGGAGTGTGAAATATACTCATCCCCATAGTTGTCACACATTGTCTCTATAGATTGAGAACCGAGTGATCACAAACTGCTGATTGCTCGGTTCAGGGTCTTCTCCCTGTAGAGAGTAATGACTGTCAGTCACCGCTCCCCGCATGGATTCCTCCCCTCCCCTCTCTGTTCCTCCAGTGCTCATTGGAGCGACAGCCAGGGGAGGGGGCGGGTACAGCTAGCTCTGGCTCTAGAGAGGCAGAGTCAATCAGGCGGCGTGGTGGATCCTGACCATATTGTCCGGGTGGATGATGGCAGTTCCATCACCTCTTGGCTTGTTGCCCTCCACACAAGACTGGAAAGATCCCCAAGGTGGACAGCCGCACATGTGATGTATTATCAGCGAGTGGACACCCCACTTCATACATATGGGTGTAAGGTCTGTACCTTGATATGCCCTTTCCCTTTTCCTCTTCTCTGTGTCGATGAAATTCTCAGAGGCGGCTTTGATTTTCTGAACCCAGGCAGTTCTAGGAGAGAAAACATTGGACCCAATCAGATGATTAGAAGGAAACAAAATATTACATTTCCATCAACATGAGAAATAGGCGTTTTGTTGGAAAGAGTTATTTCAATGTCAAAATGCCTTGATGGGTGGGTGTCAGTCAGGAGGAGTGGGCGTTCCTAGGAGCTAGAGGATACTGGCCACACCTCAGTAAGGAATAAGGCAGGCTGACTTTCTGTAGCTTCTAATGCACATCGTCAGAAGCTCACAGTGTGCGGTGTGTGTGTGTGTGGGGGGGGGGAGGACACCAACACTGCAGCCTATGTTCTGAAGCAAAGCACATGGTTGGCATTCACTGGTCTCATTCACATGAATGCTATTGTGCAGCACTGGAGCTCTACAGAGGCTTCAATGATATGCCATAGGACTTGTATAGCAAGCGTCCAATGGACTCCAGCACTCAGTACAAGTCGTCTCAACAACTCTATTAAATACAATGCAAACAGCTCCATATGAACAGGACAGTTTAACTGACGCGTTTCAGGTTCCATAAGAAAAGGAGCTTCTCTGATGCGTTTCAGCCTCAAAGGCTTTAATCACAGCTAACTGACAAGTGAATACGACCCATAGAACTAAGAAGGAAAGCAACACGCCGCAGGACTGAGCGAACGCGTCCAGAACCCACCTTTCATTGATGTTGTCAGTTCGGAGGGTGTACACCCGGTCTATGTGCGATATGTGAAAGACGGGCTCATCGCTGGACGGGTCACTTGGCAGTTTCACCAGAACTTCATTTAGGAAAATTGGCTTTTTTAGAAAAAAGATGGAGAGACAAGGGCAGCGTCAGTGACATGACAGGAAGTGGGGTACACATTTCACTCTACTTGGTCTGAAAATATTTCTGAACTAGTGGTACAGTCACATGAAAAACACTTGGGGGGTCCATTTATAAAGCAGCGGTATTGGTGTGTTAAAGTCACATGACCGCCTCTTTTTGAATCACAAAGCTCCCACAGCTGCATTCATCAGAGAGAACTCCATGGGGCACTAAAGGCTTCACAAAGCAGCATGCATTTTATGAATGGGCTGTTAAATGCAGGCTGCAAGCGGAGTACAATAGAGCGGAAAGCGATGTCTATAAACTGGACCCTTACTAACACTTTTCTACTGGATACACGTTAAATATATATCTAAAAAACTAATTATTGGGCAACAAGCAACTATACCAGTAAGAGCTGAATTCTGATTGGGCCATAAGAAACATCACTGCTCCTAAGTCGTTAATCACTTCCACTAACCCTAGAATCTGTAAGTTCTGAGATTATCCATAGCGAGGGCTGAACTAAGTGACTCGATAGCTCCGTGTCGTCGATTAAACCCTTTCGTAGCCAAAGATCATTAAAAGAGATCTATGGGCCAAACCTTCATCGGCATTAGTTCTCTTTAGGGACACAGGCGGACATTAGTGTATGTCCTCCTGTGACCCACAACTCAGCATACAGCGGGCTATTGCTATATTGTTTCCTATTACAATCCCCACAGTGTCTCCATCAAAGAATCCTTCTAGACACCTCCGTGTTAGCTCGACTCTTGTATTCCATACACCGACCTCAGTGTCAGAATGTCTCTTTTTGACAGCAGCCCCTAAAATAGCTGCTGTACTTACACAGCAACTCCTGGCAATTGCCGGAACATGTGGAGAGTGGAGCGGCGTTGGGGCAGACGGGCAAGGCATACTACAAACGACCTGTGTGCTTCAATTACATTTGTTTTGGGTGTGGGCAGCATGGCCAGTGTCCAGAAATGGTTAACCACTGGATTCCCAAGCTATATTTTGCAGCAACAGCTAACTTGACAATAATGACATGACTGATTTGAAGGTTTTTCTCTTTTATAAGTATTTTTTTTGTTTTTTTAATACTGCAATTACATCTGACAATGACTGAATTAAACAGATAAGCACAGCCACATTCAGACTGCAGTGTTATCTGCAGACTGAATACTTTTTTTTCTCAATGAAGCCTTGAGCCTCCATGTGATCACTTTGTCATAGCTAACATCCGAGACGTAACTAGAAACCTCAGGGCCCCGGTACAAGAAACCAAGAAGGGCCCCCACCCCCACCAATGCAGCCGCGGGAGGGAGCTGCAGAGCATTGACCTTCTGCATGCTGGGAGCTGTAGTCCCAGGAGGCAATGTCGGCACCTTGGCAGTTATCGGGGCTGGGCACTCTTCTTCCTTTCGGCCATTCCCCCAATTGGCGGAATGCCAGGGCCCAGTCACACATACGCCCGCAGCGCCCCTGGTGGTGGCTAACACAGTGATCTCATGATCAGGAACCACTTTGATTGGTTCCCGAGGACCGGATCTGTCAGTGAAAGTGAGAGCCACTACCCAAGCAAAGTGTTGGCTGGTGGCTCTTAAAGGGATAACATTTATATGTGAATCAAGCCGGGAATCTTGCTGAGGGATGTTTCTATACCCAGAGATAACTTTATTATCCCAAATATTACAAAATAACTGTATATTCTATTGGTTTGTGTCTGGGTTGTTTCCTCCTTTTTCCCCATACTGCTGAGTTACCCTGCATACGTATATAACATTACACAGCAAAGGCGGCTTACATGGAAGCATCCCCCCTACTTTATGGACACCACAAGCACATCACTTTCTGAACAGCTAAGGCCACTGCTATGGGACACCGCAGAGGGACACTGCGCTGGGGCATTTTTGTAGAAGGGCCAAATATTAAGCATTCCAAAACATAACACAGAAAACCATTGAAACAATCAATGTAGTTTAGTAAAGATACTAGACTTGGACATGACCTATAGCCACCTTCAGTCAGGCTTGGGACAAGTCTCCACTAGTTCACCTTTGCAATGTTAGGAGAAGATGGGAGATAGGAGAGCCTTGTCCTACACTTACCATTTTGTACATCTTGTACTGCGCGTTGCTCTTAGTGCTGAACAGCTTGTCGGATCCGGAGGACACAAACTGTTTGACCATGTAGGTGAGAAGGAGAAAGTCGTTGAAAAGGAACCCATACAGCTCCTTACTGCTCTTGGTCTTGTAAACTTTGCCGCTGTGCAAGATCTTCCGCGGCCCCAGGCAGTTGGTCAGGGAGTTAAAAGTGATCTGCTGAAAACGGGACAGAAGTCACACTGTGAATGGACATGACAAGAAGGAACACAAAATAGAATTACTACTACAGGCAGCCATATTTACTAAGGACGTGCCATTCTGTTGGCATTGATCAGTGGTTCAATTCTCTGCTACCCGTCAGCCATTTTAAAGTGAGACTCCAGCCACAATGTGTTGAGAACAGAGCGTATTTTAGAGCCTCTGTTGCTGTGATTTCCCCATTGTCACTTATGCCAGGAATGGAGAGAAAATCATCCTAATAGGACACAGACAGCAAGCAAACCAGAGAGAGGTTTTGAACCTTTCCCCACCGTACCCTGACCTTAAAAAAGACAAAGGTCTTGGCTGGAGCTCCACTTTAATTCATCATAGCTAAGCTCACATATGACCAAAAGCATTTGTTCTCACCTCAGATAGTCCTTCACACTGAACATGCTCCTGTATCCACTCCAGCTTGTCCGAGGTCTCCTTTTCTCTCACCCCCTCATTGACCTGAGAACACAGCTCCTCCGCTCGCTCCTGGGCAAACTTCAGATTGGCGTGATCTGGGTGAGACTCCACAGTGTTCTCCAAGATCTGCCACAAACACAGAGATCACAACTACTGTGAGAACACCTAACCCATCCTGGAACAAGACCGAGGAGCCAGATAACTACTCACGTTCCTTATGATGAGTGGATATCGTGTTATCCTCTGCATAGGTTTCAGCAGGAAGCTGGATAAGGGCATCCCCTTACAGCGAGGGTCTGTGGCTAATCTCTGTGGAAAAGAAATGTATAAGACAAAATACCTACAGGGAAGTTTTTAAGTCGATTTCATTTAGAGATGAACTCCTGGCAAGCTCAAATACATGCAAGGGGACCATTTTAAGTTGCAATTCTGCTCAGAAATGTCCCCTTTGTTGCCAGTATTGGCCACCCTTAGCTTAGTGATCATTGGATAAGTGCCCCCTTACATTGGTGATTACTGTAGAAATAACCACATACACTGGATGTAACACTATGGTTCCATGGATCCCTGGTTGGGAAAGGTTGGTCTATGATGTCACATACTTGGGTACCTATGATACATACCTTGGTGATTAGTGTAGTGCCCCTTTTTTGTTGGTGGTCAGTGTGGAAGTAACCACTTACACTGGATGTCAGATGAAAACTGTCCCCTTATATTGATGGGTATCAATTTCCACTATTGCTGACAGCTCAATAAACCCCTAGTAACCTCTGGAAGAACCCCTATTGGATGAACCCTAGGGATCTATGGAATCCTGGTTGAGAAAGGTTGGTCTATGGTGTAAAATACTTAGTTGTCTATAATACATAGACAAGAACATATGGTAAGTTGAGTTCTGTAATATGTACATACATATAAAAAACGGCTGAGGACTGACCTTTAGGAAAAGTGCACCCTCACATTGGTGATTAGTGTAGTGCTCCTTTTTATTGGTGGTCAGTGAAGAAGTAAGCACTTCCATTGGCTGTCATATGATAACAGTCCACGTACATTGATGGAGATACATTTCCACTATTGTTTACAGCTCAAAGAACCTCTAGTACTGTCTGGAGGAACCCATAGCACCCTCTTGAAGGAAATCTAGGGTTCCATGGAAACCAGGTTGAGGAAGGTTGGTCTATGGGGTCACATACTTAGGTGTCTATGATACATACCAGTGCTAGATAGACAAGGACATATGGTACGGTGAGCTCTGTAATATGTACATTATATTGTTAAATTTTTTGACAACTCTATCTAAGGGCTGACCTTCAGGAAATCTTTAAATTCTGGTTCTTCATCTGTTTTCGACTGCAGGAGAGAAGCTCCATTCAGCTGGCAGCTGCAGAATCGGATATAGGCCTGCATGTGCGTCAGCTCCGTGGCCAAAATGTCGCCAATCATCTGGACCGGCATCTTTTCACCCCCGCTCTTCTTACGCACTCGTAGGTCCCTGTACATAAGACAGATGTACAGGTAAGAACATTGCATCGAAGTGCATATCCAGCCAAAACTCCTCTGCGCCATCTATTGTCGAACGACATTTGCACAACTTTACGCTGGGTGGAAAGTTCCGACATCAGGCATAGCAAAAAGCTGACAAGGGTTATAACCCTGGCGGTATAATCTCAGCGTGCTGTTTGCAAGATTAAATATAGCTTCTATTAGCATTCAAGAATATGGAACTCACTTCAGTAGTTTTGTGTTGGACAATATTAATTCCTTCCAGTTAACAAATATTAAACCCATGTCAGATTCACTCAGATGGCCGGACTCCGCCATTGGCTTCTGGAACACCTGAAAATGATAAACAATAGTGAAGAAGCTTTAGGTATCGCCATGCTGTTTTCCTATACACAATAGGCACCCTCCAAAACATATAAATGACTTTATTCTTTCATTTTATTCCATATGTCCCCTGTCCCAATGTTTGCACTCCTACAGATTAGAACTACACATCATAGAGGTGGCCTCTGTTACATTATAAAGCAGACACAGGTTTGGTGGGTACTCTCTGCTGGCTGAGTGCATGGGAGGTACACAATAGCATCGATGGTTAATTGACAATTTACAAAAATTCAACACATAAACAAGCAAAAAAAAAAGTACAAAAAAGTATTGTTATAAATTTTATTTACACTTTTTAATGGCTAACTAAAAATATGACTCAGTAACACTTTTTGCATAGCAAGTTCCTTCAATCATGCCTAATGAATATTTAAGAAAGTATTTGGTATCACTTTGACGATTGACGACATTGTCGCCTTCTCTGATTGTTTATCACATTTTGTAATTAGTGCCATGATATTTATGAGAAGTGTATACAGTATAAAGCACCGTCAATGTATGCAGAACTTTACATACTATTCATTCACATCAGTCCCTGCCCTCAAGGAGCTTACAATCTAAGGTCCTTATTTCACAGACTGTGGGAGGAAACCGGAGTACCCACACCAGCTCCATGCAGATAGTGTCCTGACCCAACCAAGATTTGAACCGGGGACCTCAAAGCTGCAAGACAGAAGTGCTAAGCACTGAGCCACTGTGCTACTTTCAAATTGACTGAATGACCATATTGTCTTCCAGCACCACCCCCCAATTATTTTCACAATGAACTTAAATACATGCCAGTTATTGTTTCATATACATATTTGTGGCTTTTTGTATTCTTGTTAATTTTCTTGTTCATGAAAAAACTTTAACAAAACTATTGACATCGAAAATGCAACTATATTATGACTGGCTATAAGACATTGTACACGTACTGCAACAATTCTTTACTTTCTTTGTGTCTTTATTCTTTCCTAGGAATGCTCAGCTCACCAGTCTGATCTAGGGTTACATAATCTACTGGTGCCTGCGAGAGATGACATAAGGTGAGATCAACTTGTAGTCCTTTGTGGTGCAGCAGCCGTGATCTTGGCGTTACCACTTCAGTACCATGCCATTTATATACATACGGTGGTCCTCAAGTGGTTACAGAACATAAATGACTTGGGACCTAATGCCAGGGGTGATGGGCAGTATTTCAGTGCTTCGTTGGAAGAAGATCTCCAAGTTTAGGTTGTCTGTTGGAATTCAGAACTTACCTCAACCACAAGCTGAAGGTCATCCATATACCTCTCTTCAGTCTGGATAAGCTCATGGATGTAGCCTTGCCTCTTTCGCTCCATGGGTTGCATGGTGTCCAACAACTGCAGGTCAGCGCACCCTACAGGAGAAGACACAGCCCTCAGTTTAAAACATCAACTTGGGGGGAAAAAATACTTTGTAGCCTGTGTACAAGAGAGTAATGCACTCACTATACATCAAAGCGTTACCAAAAATCCATGGTGGCTAATTTATATCAGTAAGACAGCCACTGATGGGATCTACACTATAGTAGATAGCCATGATTATATCTGTAAAAAATAAGTCAAGGCAACTGGATTTGCTGGATTTTTCTTGAGCAAGTCCAGTTGCCTTGACTTATTTTTTTACAGATATACCATGACCTGGATGAATGAGAACCTTCACAGACATAGCCATGATTAGTTTTGTACAATGGCAGACTACATGGCTTGTAACCCAAAAACATCCCACACTCAGTACTATCACCTCTAAAATACTATCCTATAGCAGCAGTGTTTTAAAACATACAATATTTTTTATCCATCTACACGACACTCCAATTTTGGATTGCTCATATCTGGCCGAAGCCCATTCTATCCATCCCCTTTCCCAGGGAAGGTACTCTTGCTTGCCACTAAATCTCTCAATGGAGGTTAGGGTTTGTAAAGTGGACAAAGTAACCCCTGAAGGCAGAGAAGTCAAGCCTTTGTCATAATGAAACCAGGATCAGAGGGGTCCACAGAAGAGGCTTTTCTGGTCAACGAAGGTCATACCATCCACCTTGTGGTGTCTACATGTTTACTTTAAACAATTCTAAAATGGACGCCAAGTTCACTTCATCTAGATTGCGCACTATTTGTAATTTCGTATACACCATGTACAGAGTATCTCATTATCATGATGCCATGTAGTAAGGAATGTTTCTACATGGGCACATTATCAGCGCACACCTAACTCCGAGGTATAACCTACAGATAAATCATCAGATATAAATAATGTCCGGGTGTCAGGTGCTCCCCGATGCACAGCACACAACAGAGCAATTAGTTGGAATTTTACAGCCATGAATGTTTCCTGAATGGCTGGGAGCGATGCCACTACTGACAGCCAGGAATGCTCAGGCCGCCTGCTTATTAATGACTTATTTATAGGTTGAAACAGAACAATTAATCTGTCACAGCCTCCAGGCTTAGAGCAGAAAGCAGCAAACAAGCAGGAAAAATGGTTTTTCTTTATTAAAAAAAAAAGCTAAAAATATGAAAGAAGGAATAACTGGAGCATGAAAGCCACAATATTATAAACTATAAGGTGCCAAGTCAAATGTTAAGTAAATGAAGGCTTAAGGTGTACTATTTTGAATAGAGTAGGAAAGGGTTAAACCCCTGCCTTTTTGTTATCCGTGTCTTATTGGGAAGATTTTCTCTCTTCCTGTCCTGCAAACACAACAGGAAGTGAGAGGAAATCTCTTCAAAGTGAGGAAGCTTAGCTGTCAACAGAGAGAGTGTCCTCATTGTAAGATTTCTTAGCTCAGAACTTTGAATTTCTCATCACTTTTAGTCCCAGTGACAGGGGCCACCAGGACAGATAGAAGGGGCAAATGTGCATTAACTCCTTGGGGACACAGCTTCAGAAAATCTTTCTGTTCCTGGGCACCGGAGCAATTTCGCCATTTTTGCTGTGCGTTTGTTTAACCATAATTTCCATCTTCCTCATTCATTACACCTACACATATTATATACAGTTTTTTAAAGGAGAACTATGAGGTGAGTGGTTTCCACTCACCTCATAGTTCTAGCCGACCTGTGACAATGAGACTGTCACAGGTCGGCTCAGTAGATCGGGAGGTGAGCGAACACATACCGGCGTTCACTCACCTCTCGATCCTGTCACAGCTCTCTGCCGTGACAGGGGAGGGGCTGGATTCCCCCCTCCCCACTCCGAAACCCCAGTGCTGACTAGCGGAACGGACGGGGCGGGTACAGCTGGCTCTGCCTTTAGATAGGCAGAGCCAGCTGTCAGTCACGCAGCTGGGCGGATCCCGGCCTATACTGAGCCTAAGGTGACGGGAGCACGCTAGTTGGTGTCCTCCCGTTACCCTAAGGAGAACTATGGGGGAAAGACTTAACCCGATAGTTCTCCTTTAAAGAACAAAATGGGCTTTAATTCTTTAATTTGATGTGACATATGCATATAGAAATTCTTATTTTTTTAATTAAAAACAAACAAACATTTTTTCACAGTTTTGGCAATAACAATGTATACATAATTTAGTACAGCTTACAGAAAGTAATTCAAAGTAAATTATTTTATTTGTCCTGATTTATAGGGTATATTCTATGTCTGGGATTGCAGTTTATTTTGGGAGTTACAGTATAGGTCACAAAATACAAGGAGTGAAATACAATTTTAGTGTGTGGTATGTTTTTCTCCTATCTTTAATAGCCTCATCAGCACTACATTTTCTTATCATTTTTTTAAAATTAAACTTAATTTAAAAAAAACTTTTTAAAACGTAAAAACTGTTTAATAATTCCGTCATCGGTTGGGAAGGGGTTAAAGTAGTAATACAGTAATAAACACCTGGCATGAGTTCCAACACAGCATTCAGTGGCATAACTATAGCCATAGCAGTCCAGGCAGCTGCTATGGGGCCTGGGGGTGGAAAGGGGCCCCATTAGGTTGTTGAGGCAAATGAAAGATGTATAGATAATACTGTGCTGTATCATTAAGATTTTGAGTGGTTGCAGTTGATGACAACTCTATTTCCCTGTAAGGTCTAAGGTGTAGAGACTTTGGGATCTTGGCGTTTTTACTCACAGCTCAAGAACACTCTATCCAGCACTAAAACTATTTTTCACTTTAGATACAAGAACTGATATATTGATATAGCCAAGGCCCATTATTTATTGCTATGCATAGTATTGGCACTGATCATGCTCTGGACTGATGAGCTGACTTAAGTGACCTCTTCCTCCTCCACCCTGGAAACTATAATCATTAATAATAAGCACGTGCAGCCATCACAATAATTACTGGTCTGTAAAGATCTCACACACAGTACAAATATAGCTCACACCTCTGTTCTTAAGGGGATCAAGTAAATTGGACAATTTGGAAAATGTCAGTGTTTAAAAATGTTTAAATTGATGCTGTATATTTTTCTTATATAAAATCTGTATTGTACACAAACAGTAAAGGAAAGGGTGCACCTATGACGCAGACTTTGCAGAGCATCGTGGTCTTCCTAAAAAGAGTACAGCAGTAGCTGCTTGCTTTCAGACTGTCACTCTTTACATACATCTTCCCTGCTCTGTGTGTGATTTCTGCTTGAGCTACTGAGCTCTATTACAACTAAAGTTGTCGATTTCATCTCTTGCATCTGAGATATTTTTTAATTTCTGTTTATTGCAATTTTTAATGAAAGAAAACAAACATGTATAAAAGAGAAACAACACAAATACCATGAGAGACCACCACACAGAGGAGGGTCAGGGAGCACATAGAGAAAACAGGAGCAAAGAGAACAAGACTTGGGGCTGAACCTTCATTAGCAGCACTCCACGCAGGGAAGGCCAAATCAAAGATGTAGAAGAGGAGGAGGAAGGGAGAGGAGACGAGAGGGAGGAGGGGTTATGTAGAAGAGGAAGGGAGAGGAGATGAGGAGGGGTTATGTAGAAGAGGAAGGGAGAGGAGACGAGAGGGAGGAGATGAGGAGGGGTTATGTAGAAGAGGAAGGGAGAGGAGATGAGGAGGGGTTATGTAGAAGAGGAAGGGAGAGGAGACGAGAGGGAGGAAATGAGGAGGGGTTATGTAGAAGAGGAAGGGAGAGGAGATGAGGAGGGGTTATGTGGAAGAGGAAGGGAGAGGATATGACGAGGGGTTATGTGGAAGAGGAAGGGAGAGGAGATGAGAGGGAGGAGATGAGGAGGGGTTATGTCAAGAGGAGAGGGAGGAGATGAGGAGGAGGGGAGGGAGATAAGGAGGAGTTATATAGAAGAGAAGGCGGAGGAGATAAAGGAAGGATTATGTAGATTAGGAGGGAGAAGATGGAGGGGAAGGAGGAGATGAGGAAGGGTTATGTAGATGAGGGGTTTTGTAAATTAGTAGGAGGGGTTAAGTTGAAGGGAGGGAGAAGATGAGGGAGGGTTATGTAGATTAGGAGATGAGAAGGGGATTTGTAGATTAGGAGGGGGAGGTGATGAGTAGAGGTCCGTGTTCTTCGTAAGCCATCAGAAATGAAGTAGGAAGTAGGCAGGAGGTCTGACACTATGTGGTTAGGAGTTCAGAGCTGTTCTGTCTTTTCAAAGCGGATGTTAGGAGCACATTATGTTTCTAGCACATCAAGAGGGATTTTCTGTATTTACAGCATGATTAAAGTGATAAAACGCAGGGGAATGTGCATGTATTCCACTGATGTACTAAAAATGTATTTGTATTTTGCAGGAGTCATTTTGTTGGAGTCATTCAAAAAAGGTGCCAAATGCACATATAAATGGCCACCAGAGGGAGCACCTTCAACGATATATGAACTATAGCCATTAAAATATGACCAAATAACACCAAGCATAGAAACATATGACAGTCACATCAAACATTTTACAAGAATAACTGAAAATAGACACCCACAAAACATACATTATGGCTTCAATTTTAGGTTTAACAATATATTATCTTTAGTATTCTACCACGGAGATATTCTAAATATAGCTGTCAGGAATTTTACAGTCATGGCTGCTGGGAGATGTGTTGCTTTATAAATGATTATGATTATCATTCAGACAAATGCCATGCTCATAATTCCTATGATCATTTCTTGAATGATAATATTGTTCCGCCGAGTACACGTGCCAAGGTGTGTTGCTGGAAGTCTGCAGGGTGCCAGACACATGGGGTGTGTTTACAGAAGGAAAGGAGAAGTGGAATTACTCCCCAAACCAACCAGATTGTTCATGTGCTAGGATTGTGACTGCCACTTTCTTTGCAGCATTTGCTACATTATGTATTAAAGTGACACTAAACTCAGGAGTTAAATCTTAAAAATACATTCAAGTACCTTAACTATTAACAAAATGTATCACTCGGCTGTAGATCCTCAAATCA